AATCCATAATAATTGCCAGTGTTTTTTGGATTTATTATTATTATTCGCATTAAAAAGACTTCAATTTCTCCAGAACAGCTACAGTTAATATTGCAGCAGCAACAGATGTTAGCTTGTCAACAACAACTCCTGGAAGCACTCTTGGGGAAAATGTCTATTCAGCGAGATATTCCAGAACATAAAAGCACAGAGTCATATCTTAATCCAATTCCAGAATTTATTTTCGATGCAAACAGCGGTCACACTTTTGAAGCATGGTTTGGCAGAATTGAAGATATTTTCCGAGTAGAATTCGCTGCTATGGAGGACGCGAAAATGTCCGTTTGCTCTTACAGAAACTTGGTCCTAATGAGCATCAGAAGTATAAAAATCGTATCCTGCCTAAACATCCACGAGAGATTAATTTCGATGAAACTGTTAACATTTTAAATAAAATGTTTTGAGAACAGATGTCTCTATTTCGTATCCGGTATAATTGTCTCCAGTTGACTAGAGAAGCCGATGAAGATTATACTACGTATGCCGGAAGAGTACATTTACAAGCGGAACGATTTAAATTAAATGTGTTAACCAGTGATCAATTTAAATGCTTATTATTTATTTCTGGTCTGAATTCTCCCAACGATGCTGATGTTCGCATGAAGTTATTATCTCGTATGGAATATGACGAAGAAATGACGCTACAAACTGTTACTGGTGAGTGTCAACGATTAATAAACTTGAAACAGGATTCGGCTATGTTAGAAACCAAAAGTGCTGCACCAGCTAATCATTCTGTTCATGCTATTAAGACAGGCCAACGACAAAAAAGTGCCGAAAGCTATAAACATCACACGAAACTTCCTAAACCTTCGACGAAATGTTGATATTGTGGCGCATGGCACTTTTCAAGATTTTGCAGATTTAGAAATCATAGATGCACGGTGTGCGATAAACTTGGTCATAAAGAATCAGTTTGTCGGACTAGAGAAAATATGAGATCAAAGCCGACGAAGCGTCCTCACCAGTTTCAAAACAAATATATTAACAGTATATATTCTACACGGGCTCTAAGCATGCCAGATAAAAGAAGGTATATGGAATTAGTGATCAATGGTGTTCATGTCCGATTACAATTGGATACAGCGTCAGATATCACATTGATCTCTAAACGAACATGGAATTTAATTGGTTGTCCACAAGTATTATCTACTGAGCATACTGCACGAAATGCATCCGGAGATATTTTAAAGCTTGTTGGAATTATAAAATGCTCTGTTAAATTTCGAGATAACTACTTCACAGGGAATCGCTATTTAACGAACAGGCATGACTTAGACCTTATTGGAATAGACTGGATAGATAAACTAAACCCATGGGATGTACCATTGAGTGAAATATGCACGATGAAGTGCACAAATAGTCCCAGAGATCTACCCATGGTTCATGTAACTAAGAAAGCCGTAACGATAGAAGACCTCCTACAGAAACACAAGAAGTTGTTCCAGAACAAATTGGGATGCTGTACCATTGAAAAGGCAATTATATTTACGACAGGATGTAAAACCTGTTTTTTGTCCAAAACGACAAGTCCCGTATGCAGCCACCGATGAAGTTGACAAGGAACTAGATCGATTAGAGAAACTGAGTGTTATACAACCGGTTAATTATTCAGCATGGGCAGCACCAATAGTAGTAGTGCAGAAAGCAAACGGAACTATTCGCTTGTGTGCAGACTTTTCAACAAGATTAAACGATGCTTTACAAAATCGCACATATCCACTTCCCTTGCCAGAAGATTTGTTTATTAAACTAAACGGTGGACGTTACTTTCCAAACTTGATTTATCTTAAGCTTATTTACAAGTAGAAGTTGACGAAGATTCGAGGGAGTTATTAACCATTAATACCCACCGTGGACTTTATCAGTTTAGTCAACTACCGTTTGGCGTAAAACTAGCTCCAACAATTTTCCAACAGATAATGGATACCATGTTGTCTAAACTTGAAAGTGCGGCAGTTTATTTGGACGATATTATAGTTGTTGCCTCTTCTGCTCACGAACTAATGAGTCGGTTAGTCGTAGTGCTCCATAGAATATCGCAAGCCGGTTTTCAATTACAAAAAGAAAAGTGTCAATTTATGCTCGATTCTGTTAAATATCTCGGATATATATTTGATAAAGATGGTCGCCGGCCAGATCCGGATAATATAAATGCCATCAAAAATATGCACACACCAACTGATGTTACAACTCTCCGTTCATTCTTGGGGATGATTGGATATTATAGTACGTTTGTACCCCAGATGTATAAATTAAGACACCCGTTAAATCAACTTTTGATGGCTAACGCAACATGGCACTGGACAAAAGAATGCCAACATTCTTTCGATGAAATAAAAAGGATTTTATCTTCTAAACTATTGCTGACTCATTGCAATCCTAAGCTTGAAATAATTGTAGCCGCTGATGCTTCCAACTATGGAATTGGGGCTGTTATCAGTCAGCGTTTTTTCTGATGGTAAAGAGAAACCAATTGCTCATGTATCGCGAACACTTAACCCAGCTGAACGAAAATATAGTCAGATTGAAAAAGAAGGACTAGCTATAGTTTTTGCAGTAAAGATATTTCATAAAATGATTTGTGGACGTCGATTTACTCTCGTTAAGTAGAAGCGTGTATAGAAAAAGACCCTCTGCCTGCCGATACACTCACTTCTATAGCTTTACATCTATCCAATATAAGAGAAACTTGGTTAGATGCCTCACTAGCAGAGCAAATAAGATCTGTTCTGTTGATACTTTAAGTCAGAAACTGCAATTTATCTATAACTCACTGACTGAGATCGGCTATCCTTCTGCGTTCATCAAAAAGTACTTATATGATACAAGGAAGAAATCGGAGATTTCAACTGTTCGTAAGAAGCCTCTATACATGAAATGACCATTCAACGGGGATGTTGAATGGTCTGAAAGATAGGTTAACAAAAGTAATTAGTAGAACTTTCTACGCAGCCTATCTCGCATTGACTTTCTCGAGTCGACCAGTGATGTCTACTCAAACGAAGGATAAGTTACCTGAGTTTGCCTCCTCTATGTGCATTTATAAGTTCAGCTGCTCCTGTGGAGATAGCTATATCGTGCGTACTACTAGGCAACTTAACCAACGAATGAGTGAACATCTACCAGCATGGTTTGGAAAGGGCCAAATAAAAACAATACGCAGCTCTATCTTGGCACATCTAATTGATAGTGGTCATATTGTCGATAAATTGAAATCATTTCAAGTGATCTATCGTATACCTCCATCGTTTCCCAACGGAGTTCGCTCCCGTCTACTTCATATAGCAGAAGCCATAGGAATTCGTACATTCCATCCCAATTTATGTGTACAGAAGAAATTCGTAACCCCCCTATCCCTTCCATGGCCGGACATAACTTAATAAATGACATTATTATTATTTGTAAAAATTTTTTATTTTGGTTATCATTTTTTTGTAATTTTCTACCTCTTTCCGTTTGTGTTCTTCACTATCTATTTACTTACATACTTCTTATTACGTAATGATTTTAATGTTTTGTGATTACTATTCCAGTCTATTTACCCATGTTTGACCTCTTAATTCCTATATTTAATTATTGATAAGACTTGTGTTATCGTAATTTACTATTCTTACTACTATCAGTACACCTGTATTCCCACTATCAACTTGTACTTTTAACTATTATTGTGCTTGGTAACGTATTCTATTTCATTGTGATTATTGACTCAAATAGCCTTGATTGGTCTAACATTTTCATATAAATATTCATGTATATTAGAGTAAAGCCTGATGACGATCTAATTGCAAACAATTGTTCGCTTACATATGTTGTTCTAAAATTACCAAAGTCTCAAGCGGAAGGATTCTCAAGGAGCCACTTAAAAATGCTAGAAGTATTCGAAGTAATGTACTCACTATTAATTTCGGAAATAGTTCTATTGGAGGTAGGTAGAACTAAATGATTAAAAATGAAATTATTATATCCGGAATTCGTAGTCAGTCCTCAATCATATACAAAGGAACCATCAGTCATTACAAACACCACGCCACCCGGGCGTCATGAAGTTCCCATGCGCTTCTCACACAAATAAACTATCGATCAGTGATCTCTGGTTGTTACGGTCCTCAAAGTTTACGATGTCCGTAACGAAGTAGTTTTCAGAAAACGAGGACAATTTTGTAGCTGCTCAAGAAGCAGGAAAAATATACCCTTTTTTGATATAGAAAGATGTAAAGTCATTTTTTTGTTACAAGTAATTTTAACGGTTCATGTACTTATATATTTATATCCCTAACAGTAAAACCTTCATGTAAACAGAGAGAACGACCTCGTCATCGCTAGTAAGCAGTTAGTTCAAACAACTTAGCTGTCGTGGGTTAAGCAAATACGCTAGCTTCAAAACTTTGCTACCTCCAATTGCCTATGTAATAAATATTGGGTTGCTGAAGACAGGGTTGGGAAACCCTTACCCTTAGTTTTTCACTGGCTGACACTCGTTATTATTTTTGCTTGCGTTCCTAAGAGAACTGATATTTTATGTCGGATTCCAACTTCTACTATTCGGCATCACATTCAAAAATGTTAACAATGAGATATTCAGACAGGTTGACCCCTATATGACTGATATATTTCCACTGACAGTTGAGCAGCAATCAGTATAATATTTGTCTAGTCCTCATTACCGATCGAATTATGTCTATCACATTTCCTCACAGCCTGGAAAAGTCAGTCCTTCTGATAAGTTTGAATACTGCAATCATAAGATGACCATCAGAAATATGTTATATATTATCGCCATATATTCTTAAATTCTGATCCCAATTATACTTGTCAAGATGTTCATGCATCAAAAGTAAAAGGTCAGGCAGACAAAATAGGAGATAAAAAGAAACAAAGATACTTAAGGAAACTGTACGAAACGGACACGCAAGGTTGGGGTCGAATAGAGATATGGCGCGATTTTCAACTGACAACTAATTGTAGTTTTCCTGATAAATCTCGTGAGTGGTTCAGTTAGTTCGTATGTTCGATTTAGGTCTGAACTAACATCTTGGAATACCTTTTTGTTATAAAAACTTCAGGATATAAGTATTTGAGCGGTCTAAAGAACCCATAAGTCTCATTGTCAGATTTGGAGCACCGAAAATGCTGGTGATTACTAACCTTGCACTGCCGTTTACTTTAAATATTCGGTGATCTTTACGTTGCCTAGTTACCCAAGCTACTCAACCCAATATCTGTTGGCATATAGTACTAATATTACTTATATCTAGCTTATTTTTAAAGTTAGGTGAGCGCTTGAATCCTCGAGCACTTTCTAATTACAAAACTGCTTATTGACTCACAGAAGCTTCTAAAGTACAGTTATTGTCAGCTAATCCCTTGAAATGCCTTCTGAGTATAATAGTTGAGGGACACAAAATAAAATAATGCAAATATGAGTAAAAGACTTAAAAAACCACTTGTGCAATCTCGAAATCACTTAGCTAGCGTGCATCCCTTCACGCTTTTTCCCTCACGGACAAGTTCACCCTCGTCCACTGTATTTTATCAACTAAAATAATAATAAATATCACATCCTTGTTCAAATGTCGCGAAATGATGCTTATTGTGACAACTATAATACCAAAACTTGTCGTTTTTTATGTTCAATCAAACCATATACTTGTTATTTTGCTTTACAAGTAATGCAAGCACTAATAATATGCAACGCAGAATCTCCTGAGCTGGAGCAATTAACCATACAAGGTTCTGCTTCTTTACTCCCTCTGGGAAACGAAACTGTCCTAGCCAGATTGATGAGTATTTTTATTCTGAGCGAAATATCTGACATAACAATAGTTCACAACAAAGCACAGACAATACGCCTAACAAATTATTTAAATGAAAATCGTCAACTTTGGCCTGACTATATGAAAGTTAACCTTCGCGAACTTCCTAACTTCTACTCCTTGTCCGAAACACTACAGAGAATTCGCTCTTCAATAACATCCAACTATCTATTTATAACTTATTCCAATACCGTTATCAGTGAAATCGATTTACGGGACATATTTCTGACAATGATCAGGAAAAAAGCATCAGTGGTGGCCGTATTTTCAACTCTCCCTGCGACAGAAAGCAAACTTTTCAAGTCCATTCCCAGTGAATTAACTGTAACTACAAATGATCACAGTACCTTAATTAGCTATGTGCCCGCAAGTGATGTAAAAAAGCAGTCTAAACTTTCTAAAAATCTTAGCTCTCAACAGACTATTTTATGTCGTTCGGATCTTAGAGATTGCGGATTATATTTGGTTTCCAGGGCAGCTTTGGATCATGTTGCTAAGGTAAACTGAGCCTTTTATTTTCTATTCTGTATCTAAGCTAGGGGAAGATATAACTCACCGTAAAAGGTCTATTTGGCAGTATTTTTGGTCCGAACCTCCAGAGATAAATCAAGGTAAACCCAACATTACAACTGTTTAATAAGCACTAGAAGCCAACGGAGAGTCTGATGAAAAATTCGAAACCAACAACATAAAGAATTATATTGAATGCTATCAAACAGGTGGAACGTGCATTCATGAACATCGTGACAAAATCATTTCGGTCAAATTTGAGGATCCGTTGATATATGCTGAGACAAATCGCCTGGTTAGTAATCATACGTTTTAAAAAAAATCATTTTTAGTTCTTCCCACTAGTATCTATGTTTGTGAATGTGTTTTATAAAACACGTGGTTAAATGCTATGACCTGGCAATAATAGAAAAGAACTACTTGAACCATTGCAAACTCGGAATTTTACAACCAAGCTGATATCACGATGGTGCCAAGTTTGACTTGGATTGGGATTAGTCTCTGCTTTACACCATACTTGGCTTGATTTCATCTCCTACTCCACGCACATCACACTACTACCTAGGTACACTGACTTTTCAATAGAAATTGCTGTATTTATGGACGTCAGTTATCAGCTTATTATGTTTTGGATACTCCGTGTACCGTCAGATATTAAAACTGTTATTCGTGTACTGAAGATCGATTGCCAACAGGCCGAACGGCTCCATTTCATGTAGTGAGTTAAATTTGCGTAGTTCCATCTGTCATAGTTCTGAAAAGACAGGTTACATCAAGTGAGTGTGAAAGTATGATAAATGCCATACTACTAGTTGATCTTCAGGGGTCTTGGTCTTGCCCGACCGTAGCTGCTACCTTGACGTGGTGGTCGGACGTGCCTCTCGTGATGACCCAACCAAGCTATATTGACTGGAACATGTGTTTCTGTAGGTTCTACCATGCCAAGCAGTCGATTGGAAAACGGTAAGACTAAAAGCAGCAACTCAAGGTCTGAGTGCGAAGTCGTACTGCTGACTGTAGAGGGGTGTGACAACAGTAAGGTATTTCCCTCGAACAACCAATATCTGCAGCGATTCTGCCTTCTTACAACGAAGGAAGGGGTTAGAAAAGGTCGACCCTAAAGATGTCACGCCTCACCTAATTCCGTCCCTGGCGATAAGGACCTTTGAAGAAAGGAGCTAACACATCGAAAACCTCCCACAAAAAGGTCGTGCGCGACCGACCTCAGGCAGTTTTCCCTTGGGCTCTGCGGTCACGCTCCCAGGTCATGAACACCAACATTAATCCAACTTCCTTTTCAGGTCTATCAATAAATACCTTCCACGGTGTGGGCAGTCGGGAAAAGGTATCAGCCCTCATGTGCGTAACAGCACACGAGACCAAGTTGGTCACATTCAAAATCCTTCATACACCTCCTAATAACCCTCTTATCTCCACGACTGACCCTTCTCATATTCCTTTATCACCTCGCACCGCTAGGGCAAACAATTCGAGTACACGGAACGTTATTTTTGGTCTCCTGGAACCACATGTAGGAGCTTTTAACATCCGAACACCGCACCAAATAGGACAACAGGCTTTCTTAGCTAAGACTTTAGAATCTCGCACCACCGATGTGTGCTGCATCTCCGGAACGCGCATACAGGATCTGAGTAACGTCATCCATTTGACTTCACCATGTCAAAATAAAGAACCAACTCGATTCACTCTTTGTGTATCTGGAAGCCCTGACGCTGCTCTCCATGGCCTCGCTGGCGCAGGTATAGCATTGGATCCTAGGGCAGAAAGAACTAGCTCTCCTAAAATAAATCCCAGTAGACAGTCGTTTGTGAGCTGTGTGACTAAACAACAGTAAGGACTCGGGAAGATAGGGACACTCGTCGTTGCCTCTTTGTCGTCTCCGCCTACTCTCTCACTGACTGCAGCCTAGATGAGGTAAAAGATGAGTTTTACAGAAAGCTTTCCGACCTTCCCCAAAAGCTAGGCGCTCTGATGTAGTAATAGTGGCTGGTGACTTTAATGTTCAACTAGAAAAACTTAGCGAAAAAGAAAGGCATCTGGGTGGATCTTATGGTGTCGTGGCTCAAAGAACAGATAATGTTGACTGTCTGTTGCTACTATGACAAGATAACTGTCTGTATCTTGCAAATACTAACTTTAAGCACAAGGAAAAGCATCTTTTGACATGGCGACCCCCGAATTTTTCCCAACGTTGGACCCAAATAGACCACATCGCTATCAGCCACCGATGGAGAGGCTCGACAGAAGACTGTCGCTCATTCTGGAGCACATGTTTAGATTCAGGTCATGCTCTAGTGCGAGCACCTATTTGTCTGCGTCTTACTAGAAGTAGGAAAGACGCTGCAAGGAAGCCTCTTAGGGTTCTACTTAATCATAACCAAGCTAATAATATATTTCAGGAACAACTAGAAAAGCAGTTAGGCGGTCATGTAAGTTGTGCCCACCCCGAGGTAGCGTGGAATGACATCCGAAAAACTGTGGAAACAGCAGTGATATCTGCTAGTACGATAAACCATAATGTTAGGGACAAACACTGGATATCAGCAGCATCTACCGCACTGATAGATACTCGAAAACTCATCCCATCTGGCTCTCAACATGACGAAGAGCGGAGTCAGCTTAAGCGCAGGCTGATAAGAAGCCTACGCAATGACCGCGAACAGTGGTGGGTAGCAAAAGCAAGAGAGATGGAAAAGGCAGCGGCAATAGGTAACATCAGACAACTGTCCAGACTTGTTAAGGAAACCGGTATTAGGAACCCAACTGTCAGCGAAACTATCTCAGATAAAGATGGACATATCATTTATTCTCAATCCAGAAGATTGAATCGATGGGCAGAACTCTTTAGGGATCAGTTCAACTGGCCTTCAGCTCCACTTCAGTTCCCCTCGATCCCCAGTCGTCCTGAATGGCAAGTAAATGTAAGTCCTCCAACTCTTTACAAGGTTGAAAAAGCTATAGGGAATCTGAAGCGAGGGAGAGCAGCAGGCCCTGACAGGTTTACCCCTGAGATTTTTAAGGATGGTGGTCCAGTACTAGCAGCGAGATTAACTGAGGTCTTAGGTAGAATCTGGGAACTGGACGTAATTCCATCTGACTGGTCCCAATCACTGAGTGTGCCAGTCTATAAGAAAGGAAAAAAGTCAAGCTGGTTTCCGACCTGGACGTGGTTGTATTGACCAGATATACACTCTACGTCAGGTCCCAGAGAATAGACATACACCCAGAAGCCCCACAATCGTAGTATTTCTCGACATTAAGGCGGCATTTGACTCTGTTGATCGTCGGGTTCTATGGCAGTGTTTGTCACTGAAAGGAGTACCAAAGAAGAATATTAACCTCATACGGGCTCCCTATTCGAACATAACTGGTCGAGTTAGAGCTTATGGAGAACTGGCATCAGAATTGATTACCTCAAGTGGTGTTCGTCAGGGCTGTCCACTCTCTCCATTCTTCTTTGACATTATCGTAGACGTGCTTTTAGAAATAACACTTTCCTAATCTAAATTTAGAGGACTTGAACTCCTTTCAGGAGATTCACTTGTTGACTTAGAATATGTTGATGACATAGTTTTGTTTGGTGAAGGTCAGGAATCTTCCCCAGATAGTCGAACAAACGGATGTAAATCCACTGCATCTCTTGGTTAGTTGTTTAGGACATTTTCAAATATGCCTTTACAAAATGACTTTTTAACTGTAAAAATATCTGTTTATCACTCAATCCAAGAAACAGACAAGAATAAAGCTTTTCGTTTAAACACTACACGAAATTATTCGGATATTGACAACATGCATAATGTTACTACTAAATTGTCTCTTAGTTCATCAGTACTGTATTCTACCAACACAAATACACTGTCTGCATATCGTCCCAGGCCTCTTCTGGATGAACATTAACTTCATGCCTAGTTAGTTGGCTCCGCAATGCTTTTTTGACCTTTTCATCATTGAGCTGTGCTTTGAGGTAACTTCAAATCATTCCTTTTCGCCATACAGTAAAATTCCGGCAAACGTATTCTCCGAAATGATCGTCTTACTAATTATCTCTTCAGCTGGAAGCTGGTTTGTTCTCTCCCATAGTGGGTTGTTGCTTATGGTATCCGGCCAATAGCCATTGAGTATCGTGCGCAAACAGTTGTTTGTAATTACTTGTACATTTTTGATGAGTAGTTCTTCAAGTTTCAGCTCCGTACAGTAGGACTGTCTTGATATTCGTATTGAAGATTCTGTTTTTGATATTGGTTGACAGTTATTTTGAGTTCTATATGTTCTTCAACTGTAGGAATGCTGTCCTTGCTTTGCCAATCCTTACCTTTACGTCTGCGTCGGATCCTTCTTGTTCATCGATGATGCCGACCAGGCACGTGAAAGCTTCCATCTCCTCCAGAGTTTCTCCATCAAGTGTGATTGGGTTGGTGTTTTCCATGTTGTATTTGAAGATCTTGCCTTTACCCTTGTGTGTGTTGAGGCCTACTGCTGCAGAGTCTTTATTTTTATTTAAACACATATATATTGGTACAAAAGGACACCAGGTACATATGCGCCACACAAAATAATGAAAGTAGGAAGAGAAGGGATGAAAAGATAAGGCGGACTGAAATGTACAACCAGAAGACTCTTTCAGTTAAGAAAGTTAGAACCATTCTTTATGTAGAAAGTAAAAGAAGGTTGCAGCAGGATCGCCACTGGCTTCTATTCTGAGCCATATCTGATAACGTCTCTAGCCACTGTGTTGCACCATCTCTCGGACCCCCAGAGTCTACTGCTAAACTGTCTGTCTTGACCCACACTTGTTGGTGTGTATGGAATAAAAGAGCCAGGTCATCTAAGAAATGGAAATCCTCAAGCTGCATCCAAGCTGTCCATTGAATCGCGTGCTTTCCCTCAGATGTGTAGGTTTTCATAATCCAGTCAACTATCAGAAAAAAGAAGAAACGCGAGAGTAAGCAGCCTTGTCTGACACTGGTCCTTACATAGTATGTGTCTGTCAGCAGCCAATCATCCAAGACTTTGCAGTGTAGTCCATCACAAGAATTCTGTATGATTGTGACAGTCTTCTCAGGTACACCACAGTGTCGAAGAAGATTTCACACGGTTCTCCTATCCATGCTGTCAAATGCCTTCTCATAGTCAATGAAGTTGATGTATGGTGATGGGTTCCACTTAGTTGATTGTTGAACGATGATCCGTAGTGTCGCGATTTGGTCTGTGCACGACCGATATTTACAGAATCCGGTCTGTTGATCTCAAAGTTGGGTGTCTATTGAATTTTTCATTAAATTCAGCAATACTCTGTTGAAAACTATTCCTGGTACCGATGGTAGTGTGAAACCTCTGTAGTTTTCATATTTGACTAGATCTCGTTTTTTTGGTATCTAGATGAGATATTCTTCTTTCCAGTCTGTTCGTGGCACTTCTTCTTCCTCCCAAATCTTCCTGAATGAAACGTTGAGCATCTTTGTAGTTAGCTCAGTATCTTACTTAATGCTTCATTTTTTATGTAGTCTTGCTCTGCTGTCAGTACCATACTGCAACGTAATATTCTGCTTTGAGGATTTTGCTTTCTCATTCTGGTGTCCTATTAACATCACAATTTACTCGAGTATGAGAAATGATGGCGGATAATATATAGTTCGGGGATAATTGACAAATTATCTTACCAATGTTAACTATCACATTTACAGGTTTTTGTCGATACTTTCGTTTGTAAACAAATTCATGTCGTTGAGGATGTAATCCGAGGTGCAATACTGAAACGACACCCTAATAATTGATCAATACTCCTTTTGGGTTGTCGTGTATTTCAAATGCTTACTTCTGTGTAGACCCCTTATTTTATACACTCACTAAGCATCGGACCATGTAGATGACTCAGAAAATTGGTCATGAATAGTGAATTGTGAGAGTTTGTTTTATCCCCTAATTCAGTTTTTTTGTTTGGTTTAGTGGTTTTTTTACTCTCTTTGGACTGTTGCGAGTTTTGACATCTCAGACTAATTGGTCCCATCCAGGTTGTATATGTCTGTGTGTTTGTATTTAGTTACATGTACGTTGACCAGAAAACCATGCTATAATATTTTAAGAATCATCCACACTTGTATTTGTACCATATTTATCAAAGATCTTAAGTAAGATTGTCTATGAATTCGGTTCTTTCCATCATTTTATGTATTTGGAATGCATTTTTTAAAACAAGGTTAAAAGGCATTTGAATTTGTATGGTCTTTTTCAAAATCAATTGAGTATTCTGTGCTTTTTCGTGCTTTTTACAGATTATCCAGAAATCCTGTAGTCACACTGGATCGCAACAGTCAGGAAAGGAATTTAATATTATCCGAGAAAATTGTACAGTGCACAAAAAAGCATTCATTCGTTCAAGTTTTGTGGGTTCTTCATGCAAAATTGGTTCTGATGTACGAATCTTAAACTCCGTTCTTCTTTCAAATGTAGAGATTAGGGATAAGTAAGTAGTCACCTTTCAACTTTCCTGCTTTGTAATATGTATGAAAGTACGTTTTTTAACTCTTGAAATCAGTGTCCTATTAATAGTAACGTTTGTATAACTATGTTTAATCCATAAATACATAAATAAAAATGCCCTGTTACGTGCCTCCAAATGCTCTGGTACGGCCAAGTGTGGGGAGAGCCCCCTGTCCCTCTCGAAATGCTCTCACATGGCCACGCGCATACAACCACTGCCAGGGAATTCCTACTCACTGTCTTTTCGCGGTCCGGGGGTGTTGTCTACGTCATTCAAAGGACGAAAAGCGAATGTCCGGCGCTCTAACCGGGTTGGTGTACACGGAGGGTCCATCTAGAAGAGTTGACAAACCCTGATTCCAAACCAATGGTGCACATGGCTTCCTGGATCCTGAAGGAACAAATGACGTATAAACCTATTGTTGTCCACTGGCTACCATGGGACTGTATCTCCTTACGTTGCTCCACTGCCCTATGGATCAGACCTTTAGGTCGAAGGCTCGGTGTGTGGCCCCCGAAGAAGGCCATCTGCTTCGGTCTGGGACCCCGGGCAGTATCACAGCCCACACATAGATCAAGTGACTTGTGTGGCACATATGTATTTTTTACCCTTTGTATCAATATTTATATGTTCAAATAAATAAATAAATTTAGAATTATATGTGAAGATGGTGAAATCGATGATCGAGTATACATAATATGGTTTGAAAAAATTATATGAACTCAAAATAAAAGGTATAAAAAAGCAATATGAAGATCGATTTTGATCCGTGTCTCTTAAAATATCTAACCTTAGATTAGTATTATGGTATGAAACTCACAGATATAATCTACATCTGTCAATATTACTCAAACCAACAGATTCATAAACTGATTCAAGTTCTTGGTTCTACTACCCCTGAGTTTCTTTTAACCTACTCCTACACCAACCAGCGTTGAGATAGTTGTGGTTGGACACCTTTATCAATAATCTCAGTTGGTCTCAACTTTATCTAGTACTATCATTAACTAATGATCCCCTAAAATATACTAGCACTGCTTTCAAACGCAACACCGTCTGCAGTTCTTCTGGAGGTACTGCCGGTTCTAAGCCCGAGTAAAAAAGGAGGGTTGGGTATGGTGTCAGCAACACCATCCAGTATAAAAAAAACCTTGCTAAAAACACCCAAACCAGGCTAAACAAATTAAACCATTTAAACTCTGCCCTGGGAGTTGAAAGAAGAATCATGACGCCTCAGGATGAAAGCCAAAATCCTTCGGAAGTCACAGGGCCGATGCCCCTTCTAACAACCAGAGCAACGATTAATATGGGTATATGGAACGTCTGGACAATGTGGAAGATCGGAAGGACTGGTCAAATAGCAACGGAAATGAGGAGATAGAACTTAGAAGTACTCGAAATTAGCGAAACCCATTGGATCCAAGCTGGACAGAAAAGTTTAGGTACGGCAGAGATGCTGCTGTACTCCAGTCACGAAGAGGAAAATGCTCCACACACTCAGGGAATTGCTCTGATGCCGTCCAAACAAGCACAAATAGCGCTTATAGAATGTGAATCTCATGGACTCAGAATCATCAAAGCATCATTCAAAACAAAGAAGGAGAGAAACAATCCATGTCATCCAATATTATGCACCCACTAATAATAGCAACGACGACAATAAGGATCAGTTCGTTCAATGATAGACTGAAATCAATCATAGAGAAGTCCCCAGCAAAGGATCATACCATCCTGATGGGAGAACTGAACATCAAAGTCGGAGAGGAAAACACCGGATATGAGGGTGTCATGGGACGACATGGACTAGAAGAAATGAACGATAATGTTGACATTTAATAATCCATGTGCCTGCAACAAATTGGTTATAGGCAACACAATACCCCTTCCCTCACAAATCCATACATAGTGCTACATGGGTTTCACCGAATCACACCACGGAGAACCAGATAGATCATATTTGTATAAACAAAAAATTCAGAAGAACAATGGGAGAGGTGAGAACCAGGAGAGGAGGTGACATAGCTTCAGATCACCATCTGGTTGTGGCCAAGATGAAGCTAAAACGCAACGAATTCACGATAACTCAACAACAGGTTCCAAGCCATACAAGATCTACTGAAAGAAGAAGAAACCACGATGGAGGACAACTGGAAAGAGATCAAAGAAGCACTAGGTTCAACATATTAGGAAGTGCTGGACCGCAAGAAGCATCATCATAAGTAATGAATCTCCACTGAAACCATGGAAGAGATACAAGAAACGAAGAACAAGAAGACAGTAATTAACAACAGCCGAACAAGAGCAGAGAAAATCAAGGCACAAGCTGAATACACTGAGGCAAACAAGCAAGCGAAGAGGAGCATTAGATCTGACAAGCAGAAATATGTGAAAGGCCTAGCCACGACAGAGGCAAAAGTTGCAAGAGACGGAAATATGGAACAACTATGTCGCACAGCGAAGAAACAGGAAGGGAAATATAGTAGACCAGCCAACAACATAGAAGGAAAGCCAACCACTGAGGTTCAAGAACAGACGAACAGTTGGGTAGAACACTGAGGAACTCTTGAATAGACCAGCTACATTGAATCCACCGGAAATCGAAGCAGCACCTACAGACCCTTCTTTAGATGTCTCTCCACCAACGATCGAAGAAATCAGTACGGTCATCGGACAAATCAAGAGCGGGACCTGACAATACACCAGCTGAAGCACCGATGTCAGGCATAGAAGCACCTGCAAGCATGCTCCACGTTCTATTCAGGAAGATTTGGGAGGAAGAAGAAGTGCCACGAACAGACTGGAAAGAAGAATATCTCATCTAGATACCAAAAAAACGAGATCTAGTCAAATATGAAAACTACAGAGGTTTCACACTACCATCGGTACCAGGAATAGTTTTCAACAGAGTATTGCTGAATTTAATGAAAAATTCAATAGACACCCAACTTTGAGATCAACAGACCGGATTCTGTAAATATCGGTCGTGCACAGACCAAATCGCGACACTACGGATCATCGTTCAACAATCAACTAAGTGGAACCCATCACCATACATCAACTTCATTGACTATGAGAAGGCATTTGACAGCATGGATAGGAGAACCGTGTGAAATCTTCTTCGACACTGTGGTGTACCTGAGAAGACTGTCACAATCATACAGAATTCTTGTGATGGACTACACTGCAAAGTCTTGGATGATTGGCTGCTGACAGACACATACTATGTAAGGACCAGTGTCAGACAAGGCTGCTTACTCTCGCGTTTCTTCTTTTTTCTGATAGTTGACTGGATTATGAAAACCTACACATCTGAGGGAAAGCACGCGATTCAATGGACAGCTTGGATGCAGCTTGAGGATTTCCATTTCTTAGATGACCTGGCTCTTTTATTCCATACACACCAACAAGTGTGGGTCAAGACAGACAGTTTAGCAGTAGACTCTGGGGGTCCGAGAGATGGTGCAACACAGTGGCTAGAGACGTTATCAGATATGGCTCAGAATAGAAGCCAGTGGCGATCCTGCTGCAACCTTCTTTTACTTTCTACATAAAGAATGGTTCTAACTTTCTTAACTGAAAGAGTCTTCTGGTTGTACATTTCAGTCCGCCTTATCTTTTCATCCCTTCTCTTCCTACTTTCATTATTTTGTGTGGCGCATATGTACCTGGTGTCCTTTTGTACCAATATATATGTGTTTAAATAAAAATAAAGACTCTGCAGCAGTAGGCCTCAACACACACAAGGGTAAAGGCAAGATCTTCAAATACAACATGGAAAACACCAACCCAATCACACTTGATGGAGAAACTCTGGAGGAGATGGAAGCTTTCACGTGCCTGGTCGGCATCATCGATGAACAAGAAGGATCCGACGCAGACGTAAAGGTAAGGATTGGCAAAGCAAGGACAGCATTCCTACAGTTGAAGAACATATAGAACTCAAAATAACTGTCAACCAATATCAAAAACAGAATCTTCAATACGAATATCAAGACAGTCCTACTGTACGGAGCTGAAACTTGAAGAACTACTCATCAAAAATGTACAAGTAATTACAAACAACTGTTTGCGCACGATACTCAATGGCTATTGGCCGGATACCATAAGCAACAACCCACTATGGGAGAGAACAAACCAGCTTCCAGCTGAAGAGGAAATTAGGAAAAGACTCTCGAAGTTGATTGGAGGAAATATATTGCTGAAATCATCAAAGTGCACCACGAGGCAAGCTCTAACATGGAATCCTGAATGCAAACGGAAAAGAGGAGGACTAAAGAACATACTGCGTCGAGAATTGGAAGCAGACGTCAAAAGAATGAATAACAACTGAAAAGGATTATCGAGCATAGAGTTCATTGACGAATGTTGGTGGTCAAGTGGTAACATATCTGTGTAAGTAATCATTCAAACGTGTATAATGGAATACTAGTAAGCTGTGTGTGTACTCATTTTTCATAAAGTATGTTTTACAGTCAGTCAATATACTACTATACAGTACACTGATAATTTAATAGGTGAACAGGCATATCGCTTGACTAAATGGATTGTACGAGCGAGCTAAATTCGAACAGGGTTTTTGTATTTCTGACATTTTATCAAACGCGACTCACGAGAGCTGATCCAAGAACCACAATTCGTTACCTAGTGTTTGCGCTGAACTACAGTACGTATAAAAGCAAACTATCTCTAAATAGCTTATTGAATTCAAATCACAAGGGCATTAGAAATATTCTGCTTTCTGTCAACATCACTAAATGGAAATATCCAATGTGTATTTTTTTAGTTGAATAATAAGTTTACAAGTAATTCAGGTAATCCTCGATAAGCCTGACAGAAAATTTAGGTCTAGGACCATATGTATTGTAAAACTAGGTAAAAGTAAGGTAACCTTGAGAGATACACGTGAGATAGTTAAACAGCTAGCAGTTCATCCTAAGTAAGAACAAATACTTAGTCATTGACTGTGGGTTGTAAAGCTTGTGAAACCTTCCAGATTTTACAAATAAATGGTAAGTATTAATGATTGAAAATCTTGTGTAACGTGGTCAAAACTAAATGTCAGTAGCACATATATCTTAATCCTTCAACATACTTTTGACCTCCTTAAGTCCTTTTACCTAACTCTTTTGCTGCTTCCTTTTTTGAAATTATGATATCTGCTTGTTATTAATTATATTGTGCCAGGCAGATAGTCAACTTGGACTACAAGTTGAAATATGTTTCTTTTAATTTACTGACTATCTAATCTTTTATTATCCTCTACTTTAATTAGCAATTTTATTTTTTCCTAGTTGTACTGTTCAAGGATGTGTTATTGGTGAAAAAGCGGTTATTGAAGAACTATGTAATTTAAAAAGTTGTACTGTCGCCGCAATACAACGAGTACCAACAGGAACTAATCTCGAATCAAAGCAGTTAGGATTTACAGATCCAGAACTAAATGCAACATAACCCCTTTTTGAATTGTCGACTACTTTTTTGTTTACATAAAATAAATACTTGTGATAAACATTTAATTGTTATAGTATCACCTTTAGAACTGAGATTAACTTATATTCTGTAGTTGTTATATCTTGGTCAGTTGTTTTTTAATTCTTCAGTGAGACTATCAATAACAAGTGCTCTTTTAAGAACAGGTTCCTTTATTCTTTACGTTAACGCTGATATTTATGTTAATATCAGAATATCTTCTAATTGAAGCCCTTCCTCAGGAGCGTCAGCGGAATCAAAGCCCTATGCGAATATAATAAAAATAAAAATAACTGTAAATTTCCGCTTGTCCAGTAAGCAATACATGTATTCGATTTACGTGGAATGTGCATCTGAAGTAATTATTTTTGTATATAGTAAAATGAAGTAATAGGGATCAAATTTCCTGATACTTAAAGAAATCTTTTCATCTGGTTTACAGAAATAGGATTTACCTATCAAATTTCGAAATTATTTAGCTGTTATTTTTGCTTGGTGTATCAGGTTTCTCCATCTTATTAATACCTAATAGTTTAACCAACTAGAATATGGTGTAAGCCTGTATACAATGGTTTTGTGTAAGATATCACACTCCAAACTAAATAAGTAAAAAAGGGAAAAGCAAATAAGCATAAATTATCAGGGGGTTCATTATTTGCGATGAAACAATGTAAACATGTCTCCACTATTAAGAAACTCGTTTATTTTAATTAGGATTGACAAAAATTTTCCTCTTCGCAGTTCGCCGAGATCTGTCCAAAAGATACTCAAGTATTCATGAGTGGACTATCAGAGTCTTTCTGATATGTAATTTTGGTTGCATATATGTAACCATTGAACCAATCAATGATAACAGTAAAATAAAGTACAAAATAAACTATGAGAAATAAAAAGTAAAGGTAGATAGTAAGATGACATGTGTAGTAGCGGTGCTAAGAAGAGTAGTCATGGAATTTCAACATTTGCATATATTTAACATATCAAGGTATCGATTTGTAATTCCTATTATCAGAATTAGTTGTGTTATTGTTAGAATAGGATCAAGCATATAACTAATTAGATCACGCACTCCTCTAGTTACTGAGTTTCTGCGATAATTCATGAATTAATTCAGCATGATATTCGTTTGTATTTTCACGATTTTAAGTATGGACTGATCATATGCCAGGTCACTGGGTTATACCTAATCCAATCTAATTGTTAATCACTGTGAAGTAAGTCTTTATATAAATGGGTATAATGAGATATTGAATATATTGTTGGATGTAAAGTAAGTCAATCCACAGTCTATGTTTTTTCTCTTCGAGTCGTGTTCCGTAGTATGAAAGTTGGTCGTACTAGAAAGCTTGAGTCGTAGAGAGTATAGCGGAAACTGGGTGGCTCTTACGGTGCGTGTTTGGCAAGGGTATCAGTAAAAAAGGAGGCGGAACCTTCACTTATCAACACTCCATCCTAAGGTTTAACGATAATATTAGGTGCACTGTTCCTCATTGTTTTTCTTATCTTTTTTTATATATGTTACTTTTTATATTATAATAAAGCCTGATGAAGTCCTGAAGAAAGTTTCTACCTGATGATTAGAACAGAAACATCTTGAAACGGTGGACAGATAATAGGATCAGCTAACTAACAGGACCTACTGCAAAGTGGGACCCACTGTTAGCTAGTGGTACCATGTACATACCTTCAACACTGATATTTCTTAATTCATAAACAGTAGTCACTGTTTGTCAAAGTCATGAGAAATAACTCACAACTCTTGAAGAGGAAATCAATGGCCACAATAGGTTATATATACTAAGAAATGGACCGCAAAACCCCGCGGCCATGTATATAGTCTACTTCGACTCATGACAGCGACAGTCTTTTGCTGTACGATGTATGTATTTATATCAGGTCACTAGCGTGTAACCCTCGCCGAAGATTTCGCTTTTTAACGCTTAGACTTTCACTATGAAGTACTAGTTTACATGGTGAAAGAAGAATATCAAAACGATCTTCAAGACAATTTACCACCAGGAGTGGTCAGTTTGTCGTGTATGGCAGAATGCACTGGAAATCTACGTTCCAGATTTATATTCCACCCTTTTTTCAAGGTAGATACCCAAGGCATCAATGAGTTTCTTTGTTCAGATCTGTACGACTTAATAGTAACGGTTGTACCAATAATCATTCTGATATATTGTCAGGTTTATCAGTAACTGTCGAGATTTATAATCAATGTGTTGAGCTTGTCTAGCACCTCTTCGTTTAACAGTATAATCATAAGCGCTCATAGCAAGACTCCATCTTTGAACCACGGCGGTAAAGGGACGTGCTAGCATTTTTCAAGGATGATAAGTGAGTAACCCTACTCATCAACATTACCTCTCCATGGTACGCCGTTTATTAGTCCGGTTTTCTGACCAAAAACCGTAGTGTTGCCAGGAGTTGAGTTCATATAACAGGATCACACTAAAGAAACATAAATTAACTATGAAGGTATGTCTCTTGCTTTGGGGGTTATTCAAAAGAACTTACAGTTGAAATTTGAAGTAGACTATTAGCACGTGAAGAGGAAAATGTAAATAATATGCGGACAGTATTGTAGTCTATTTACTAAGAACTAAATCTAGGTAATTGTTAGCGAATCGCCCATTTGTAAGTGGAGTCAGATTTTTCTGATCCATTTTGAAACCATTATCAGAGGATAGACACAAAGTGAACAAATGAAACCTGAAAAAGGAGAATTAAGAATGATAACTAAGATTTAGATGAAGAATGGATGCGACTATTCATTTTTACAAGTCACTCAATGCTGTTCTATAGAGTATTTGCTAATGATCAGTGTCAACATTATTAATTAAATCTGGCTCACAAATCTTAATAATACATCCAATGAAATGGACAGCATCATGGCAAACAGACTTAGTGTGACTAATCTTCCCTTATCTGGTGCATCTTTAGCAGCAAGAAACAGTCATGTAAAATTTGCCACAACAAACATGAAGTTTTCCTTTACCTTTACGAAATAACTTTGTTCCCATTGGTAAATTATTACTGGAGTTTTTTCAAGACATAGAATGGTAGTTAATGAAATAGGCATATTTTTATGGCCTTAAGTACGTGATTGATAGGAGTGACTTGGAATTTTTATGTGCTACGAATCGATTTCATTCAAAAGCACGCCATTGGTGCTAGAAACACGGTTTCGGATGTGCACTTCGGTAGTTGCATAGAGTACGCTAATCCCTGTGATTAAGTAATCACTCAGTTGGACATCCAGCTGAACCTGAAAATTACTATTTCCTGCTTACGTATAGAGTCCGGAAATGAATTCTCTGATCTTCAGATCATTTGTACCTCATCATCTTGAGGAATTTCGCTTTTTCCCTTCTTACATCTGACATTGCTTTTTTACATAGCATAATAATCGTTCTTTTGGTTTAATATGTAAGGAAGGGAAATGGTTTATTTTTATCAGGAAACACCAGGTCTCCCAAACTATATTTTTTCTGGTAAATAAAGGCTGCACTTTTATCTTCCTTAGCGCCTTTTCTGGTCATATTAAACTACATTTCCATGCCAGAAACATTAAATAGTACTATTACTTGTAGATGATAGGACAAAATCTCACGATCTGCCAAAAACGAACCAGGATACGAAGACTGAGAGAGACTGTAGTGATATATGAACGAATTCTACTGAGTACAAACACAACCGGTGAAGGTAAGTGAATAATTGATTGATTATTATAAACACAACAGGATGTTACCGAATTAACAGAGCGTAGTACTTGTATGGTCCTAATAAACAAATAATAACATCCACGTACATAAAAAAAACAGTGTGCTCCTAGTTCTTCGGACCAGAATAATTCAGGCCGTAGTCTGTTAGAGACCGTGACTTCTAGCGCATACGCTTGAGATTAGTCTTGATAATAGGAAAATAATATACTTAAAATAGATGCCAGAGTGATTCAGTGTTTCTTTCCAATCCATTTACTGCTCATTGTTGCTTAAAAAATATCCGATAAAATTCAAATGTTTTCAAGCAAACAATAATGGTTTGAAAGTAACAGCACTATGGCATTAAACGTTAATCAGATTGAGGTTTCAGTAAGCCCATAACTTGTGTTCAGGACTGGATTTTTGACCAAGCTCTTGATAGATATCTAATCTATGTGAATTGTCTTGAAATAGATATAACAAGTTATATAGGATAATTTGGTCGTAACTAGCCTTAGAAACTAGGACATGGATCTCGTGCTATTTGCGAATTGTAACCTGGATGTATCAGCATCCCAGTGTTCATACTCATATCAAGACTGGAACCTAGTACATTATACGCCAAAATCCCAAAGAGCTAGCCTCTGTGCTCCTGAGTTCATCAACGGAGCGATACAAACTTTTGTTAATAGTGACATAAGCAAAATAGCCGTTGACAAATTAGCTGATATCTAACCAACTCCACACTTCCTTTGTGGGGAGGCAGCAACGCTGTTATGCTGGTTGTCCGAGGAAGATCATCAACACAAACTTCTGGTAGAAGTTTTTGCTGATATTTTTCAGAAAAGTGATGAAAGCTCCACGTCCAAATCACCCAACTCAGAGAACAAATCTCCACCTAAAACGGCTGTTAGTGCCGATCCAGACGATGAGTACTGTCTCTACTTTGGGTCCTAGCGTCACTGACTCCATTGGGTCTGGTGTATATCGAGTTTGTAATAATTGATTAGAGTCTTGAACATGGATCTCAGATAAACAACACAAATCCTCCTTTTACTTCATAAACTTGTTTTAGGATTTTCGGAATATTTTGATATCTCACCTATCTAGGTTCTGTGTTTGTTGATAATTTCACTCAAATAAACAGGTTACATAACAACATAAAGTGGTTGTAAAAAATCCACTTTCATCTTGTGCACGACAAACAATAGAAAGTAGTACAAAAGACTGCATTAAAAGTCCCAAACGTAAAAAGTAAAGTATTTATTTTGGAAAACAGAATGCAAATAATTTAGTGGTACTTTCAGTTATCTAACATTCCTCCAATGAATATTTGTTATCAGTTATTAAATGAACAGTCCACACTGAGAAATATGTCCTAGGAAGAAGTTAAACGCTTTTCATTATTGCTTTTATAGAGGGTATGACTAATAATCATGCTGAATAAATGGCAGTAAGCTTGAGCGAAGACATTTAAAATGTTCATGTTATATTCGGGAAATACACACGTATTTTTTCTGAGATAATTGATATTTAAAGTAAACGTAGAGACATAAGACTCTCATCGAATAATAATAATAATAATTTATTTGGATAAAAAGATGGTAAAAAAATTTAGTGGTGGATAACGACAAACGATTGAACTCATGAAGTCAGATAAACAGTTTAACCTAAAATAAAAACAAGAAAGTAAACGAGATAATTAGAAAATATGTTTAACTCGATTCAACAAACAAAAGATTGCTGTTAAATTAGATGGGTTCAGTGTCTTACCGGTTTTCCAAATGAACAAATACACTTGGAATACGGAAAATACCAGATTCCAAATACAACACAAAGTGCTTCTTCATAGTGGAGTTCAAATCATTTGGTAACGGATGGCTAATTTCGAAGCAAGTGTTCTCCGACAATATGAACATGGTTTTCCAAGAACTGTTAATTTTTAGTAAGTCTCATGAGTGAGCTTTTATATTTTGAAAAATAAACGTCAGTACATCAACGGTCCACGGTTTATATTCACAAATTTAGTAATTTTCAACAAAAAATATAAAATTATGCTTCAGTTTAACGAGTACGAAAGGAAGTACATTTGGTGATCCTAATCATTGATTATTTCCAGTTGAACAACCATGAGGCAGTAATCTACCCATTTCGTCTCAAACATTTGAAATATATATTTATATATATGCGTCAATGCAATGCTAGGATTTTTGGGGTAGAGTTTAATATAGAAAACATCTATTTACTCATTGCCACGAATATATAGGGCGTGCTTTCCGTATTAATGAATTCAAATTCTTAATAGCACTTCCAATTCAAAAATAACCACAGTGGTATTACCACAAGAACGACAAGAGTATTATTAACAATCAAATTAAATTCAGAACATTATTAATCCAAACAATCAAGCAGTCAGTTGTCTAATCCAATGCAACCATATTGAATGGATATAATAAGCATAGTATGATATATTAATACAAGCACATAGTTATTACACAAATCAACCAATATTCGTATAAACACCTAAAACGTACATGGATAGAGGAGTTGAGAAATAGCTGTTCAAACAAATAGTTTTATTAAAAATATAGATATGTGCAGACTTGTGAATTCATCAAGGTTACTGTCCCAACGTAACAGCTATTTGCTGGTTTTTCCAGCTGAAGAGAAGTCAGTGACAACGATGAAGTCCAAAAAGATCAGGCCACTACAGGACCATAAACAACAACCTCCAAGTAGGAAAATTTTCAAGAACTAGATTCAATTTATTGATAATGTTATCAGTTCAACATAATAAGTTAAAACGTATTTTGCTGATGGTTTACATCTAGGTTTAAGAAATGATTATCATCTTTCTTAAACACTTTCAGCTGAATATACCCAAATTAGAATTGTGATTAGTACTATCACACGATAAACTTACAGTACCTCCAGAATTTCACAACTAGTAACTAACTCAATACTTTCATAATAAAATGATTATAAATATTAAAATATTTGAACAAAGAATGTACATTAGAATGAAGATACTTTAATTTGGAATTTTAAGTCAAACAGAAATATCAAGTCATAAACAATAGAAAATAGCCTACACTCGAAATCGCAACAGTCAAAACACTATCGGGTGTGACGAAAACACATGTGAACAGAAATTATTTTCAAGAGTTCAGTAGTCAATACAGTGACCTTTCACCTTCAAAACTGTCATCTATTATATCAATAAACTACCACAAGATAAACGTTGTTAGTTTTAAGCAAGGCTTATTTATTACCAGTCGATTTTATCACACAATAAAACCGGTGATACGATTGAAATATATGTTGATAGACCACACGATGGGAAGATATTCATCTCCTGTTAAAGGGCTTCTTTTGAAAGTTACTTATAAGCGTAGCTTAAATCCCATAAAGAAACGTACAACCCAGTTTCATCTGCTTCCTTAAGATACGTTTTATCTACTTCATAACTCAATTAAAGGAATTCTGGTAAATATAAAATCTCATCTACATGAACACTTAAACAAAACCTCTCTGTCTATATTATCGGGATTTCATTAGACATTAATGATCTGTTGAAGTCGTTAGTGCTTAACCAAATACATTCTGAACATGTATCACATCTATAGAGAACAGATTTCATTGTTGAACGGTATAACTGAATTTCTCAATCAACTAATATAAAATCTGCAAAATCCCCATAAAATTCAATAAAAAAAGTGATGACAAACAAGTAAAACTTGTTAGTAAATATGATAAATATAGGTTTAAGCAGAGTGAAACTTTAAGAGATACTAACAAGTGATGTTGCTATTTTACGAAAAATGAGGAAAGATAAGGCTATTAAAGTGAAAGGAAGGAACTTAACAGAAATGCTTTTGAATGAGCGATGCTAGTATGAACCTCCGAGAGAGCAAGCGTTTCATAAGCGCTGATGATGAGTTACAGCAAACACAGAACCTAGATAGGTTAGATATCAAAATTGTTATATCCTAGCGAAGATATAAGTACAGGTTACTCCCAGGACCTATTAATGGACGATCATTTTATATATATTCTTACTGTTTAACTATTGAGTAATTAGATTATGTATATCTATATTCATCTTATTACAAGCTTCATTTTGACCTATGAATTATTATTATACGAATTACTGTTCCTAAATTATACTCAGTTTATTGTTATTGTATCCCACGTTCACAGCCACATTTGACTTGATCTTGTACAAATGTTATTTTCTATTTTATGGTGTGATGCGGTCTGTCTGCCTAGTATATAAGCCGAGTATGCTTGAAATAAATGGTTCGCATAGATTCGTATAGCAGTAGCTGTAATCGGTGTTCTGGACTCAATTGGAAGGGCTAGGCGGACATGGGATCAATAAGGACGCTAGACTGCTCATACTGGTCGAATGTCAATGATTGGCACAGTATTGAGGTTAGAAAAGTCGTATTTCAATTGGTGGATAAATCACGTGATAAAAGCTGGACATAAAGTCGTAACGAATTAGCATACGTCCTATTTTTTTATAAAGTCATAGCAAAAATATTCCGAAAATCCTAAAACAAGTTTATGAAGTAAAAGGAGGATTTGTGTTGTTTATCTGAGATCCATGTTCAAGACTCTAATCAAGTATTACAAACTCGATATACACCAGACCCAATGGAGTCAGTGACGCTAGGACCCAAAGTAGAGACAGTACTCATCGTCTGGATCGGCACTAACAGCCGTTTTAGGTGGAGATTTGTTCTCTGAGTTGGGTGATTTGGACGTGGAGCTTTCATCACTTTTCTGAAAAATATCAGCAAAAAACTTCTACCAGAAGTTTGTTTTGATGATCTACATGTATACCATTCATGGTAAGAAATTTATTTGACTTTCAGTGTTGACTTGAGTCTAAATATGAAATCAAGATCTACAGATTTGCAGTCTTTATGCGTCTTAGAGCTAGCAGAGTGAAGAATTAATGAAGTCTATCCTCACCCTATATCCTGTCCAGAGGTCTTTCGATTTCTTATCATAACCGAAAACAGGTATTCTAGATTATTACCTAGGTATGATATTATTGAGTTTGTTGTGCATATTCTGTATTCAACCGTGGAAACTCTTCTAAGAAACAGTCAGAACCTGTAATTAATAATACCCTGTGAACTATAATTCCTAGTACGCTGGCTTAGACTTCGTTGCGTCTAAGAAATTCGTTTTCGCTCCCTCTTTTTAAAAATACCTAGCAAAGCTATTTCATTCTTACTTGCTCGCTCCTGTTACCCCTCATGAAAGAGCATAGGCTGCCACAAGCATTCCCCATCCAACCCTGTCCTCGACAATCCTTTCTAGTTGTTATTCATCCTTTTGACGTCTGCTTCCAATTCTCGACGCAGTATGTTCTTTAGTCCTCCTCTTTTCCGTTTGCATTCAGGATTCCATGTTAGAGCTTGCCTCGTGGTGCACTTTGATGATTTCAGCAATATATTTCCTCCAATCAACTTCGAGAGTCTTTTCCTAATTTCCTCTTCAGCTGGAAGCTGGTTTGTTCTCTCCCATAGTGGGTTGTTGCTTATGGTATCCGGCCAATAGCCATTGAGTATCGTGCGCAAACAGTTGTTTGTAATTACTTGTACATTTTTGATGAGTAGTTCTTCAAGTTTCAGCTCCGTACAGTAGGACTGTCTTGATATTCGTATTGAAGATTCTGTTTTTGATATTGGTTGACAGTTATTTTGAGTTCTATATGTTCTTCAACTGTAGGAATGCTGTCCTTGCTTTGCCAATCCTTACCTTTACGTCTGCGTCGGATCCTTCTTGTTCATCGATGATGCCGACCAGGCACGTGAAAGCTTCCATCTCCTCCAGAGTTTCTCCATCAAGTGTGATTGGGTTGGTGTTTTCCATGTTGTATTTGAAGATCTTGCCTTTACCCTTGTGTGTGTTGAGGCCTACTGCTGCAGAGTCTTTATTTTTATTTAAACACATATATATTGGTACAAAAGGACACCAGGTACATATGCGCCACACAAAATAATGAAAGTAGGAAGAGAAGGGATGAAAAGATAAGGCGGACTGAAATGTACAACCAGAAGACTCTTTCAGTTAAGAAAGTTAGAACCATTCTTTATGTAGAAAGTAAAAGAAGGTTGCAGCAGGATCGCCACTGGCTTCTATTCTGAGCCATATCTGATAACGTCTCTAGCCACTGTGTTGCACCATCTCTCGGACCCCCAGAGTCTACTGCTAAACTGTCTGTCTTGACCCACACTTGTTGGTGTGTATGGAATAAAAGAGCCAGGTCATCTAAGAAATGGAAATCCTCAAGCTGCATCCAAGCTGTCCATTGAATCGCGTGCTTTCCCTCAGATGTGTAGGTTTTCATAATCCAGTCAACTATCAGAAAAAAGAAGAAACGCGAGAGTAAGCAGCCTTGTCTGACACTGGTCCTTACATAGTATGTGTCTGTCAGCAGCCAATCATCCAAGACTTTGCAGTGTAGTCCATCACAAGAATTCTGTATGATTGTGACAGTCTTCTCAGGTACACCACAGTGTCGAAGAAGATTTCACACGGTTCTCCTATCCATGCTGTCAAATGCCTTCTCATAGTCAATGAAGTTGATGTATGGTGATGGGTTCCACTTAGTTGATTGTTGAACGATGATCCGTAGTGTCGCGATTTGGTCTGTGCACGACCGATATTTACAGAATCCGGTCTGTTGATCTCAAAGTTGGGTGTCTATTGAATTTTTCATTAAATTCAGCAATACTCTGTTGAAAACTATTCCTGGTACCGATGGTAGTGTGAAACCTCTGTAGTTTTCATATTTGACTAGATCTCGTTCCTTCAGTACATTGATGAGATATCCTTGTTCTTAGTCTGTGGGCACTTGTTCTTTTTTCCGAATCTTCCCAATGTCTGCTCGTTTGCGGATAAATCTTTCAGTCTTAATCACACTTTTAATTTAAAATGACATTACCAGTTTCATAAAGTTGGAATCAGCATCTCTCACACTATACTAGTCAAACAAAGAAAAACCAGTCAAACTATGTGTGAAGTATTGAATATTTGTTGGCGAACGTTCTGCTGATTGATCCTTGTTTGTTTGTGTTATGGTTTTTGGAGCATTTGATCGATGGCTTATACAGGTGGTTGTTACATCTCAACGACTTACAGCTTTAGTTACTTCCAGAAAATTCCGACATTTCTTTTCAGATGGATAGAATTATGGTGTTTATTAGGTAAAGTGGGATAAAGTTATTCTACTTTCTACGACTTCTGTAAATCGAAAAAGACTTGTCTGCATTTTAAGCATAGTTTTGCCCAAATGGTTCTCCTCATCAATTCAGTAATTTGCAAGCATGAGGTTATGATTCTAATGGTTTAAATTATAATTCAATATCTAATAGATCATCTTTACTAAAATTTCGCACTTTAGATTAGGTTTACTTATTTATAACTCAGCTGCTCTGTAATTTATTTTTTAAAGATAACTTAAACGTTATACTCAGTAATATCGTGGAACACTGGACTTGAACGAGACCGGGTTTATTGGATTGATTACGTTTCTAGTGATGGATCTGACTCGAATGAAGCAGAGTCTATGCTCGAAAGTGGAATGCAGAGAAACGAGGTCAAGATAACGGTCATAATAAATGAATAAGTTGACTACGCAAACATGCTCATTACAACGAGCAAAAGTATAAGGATAATAATAAAGAGTTGACATAGAGTGAAATAGGCAAAGATGGGTTAATGATAAATATGAGTATAGGGTTGTAGTAAGCTCATTCAACCACTATATTATTTGTCTGCTCACCGTAATTTAGACATCTAATCCACTATGTAAATTTACGTGTGAGTCTGATTGAGAGCGTGTCTGCACATCATTCTTTAATCTATTCTTTCATTGGTTTTTTAACACACAGACAATTAATAATTTATCCACGACCACTTGACACTCAAATATATATGGACTTTCAACACAAACACTCGTTTCCCTGTTTGCTCGCTTTTTGCATGCTTGTGGATTTTAATAATCTATAACAATAAACTATCTCTATAACTGGTGTTCAGGCTTTTGAATAATCTCGAGTAAATCCATAATTCTACTAGGAGATTTAGCCTGCGTTAAATACTCAGTTAACGGGATACTATTTATTGGAGTCAGATATAAAGGAAATCAGCATCTACAGGTATCAATTCAATCAACTACGGGATAAGATACAAGTCTATGAATTTGTCACGCATCTGTCTCCAAATGTTTAATATGTAGCATTGCTTCGTTCAATATGTGTATGAATGCTGCATACGTTATTCACTGTGGATTTCATTTCAAGCTCTAACTTTCAATTTACATGCGTTTTTTATCCATTAAGTCCATTGGATTAACTGCATCTCTAGTACTGAGTGTGACTAATTTGCTCTCTTTCCGAATTACTTTGCAACATGTGGCACCTCGTATGCTGGTGGGACACATTTTGTGAGTCACCTTGAAGAATCAATTATGAAAATTTAAGAAATGTATTTCAAACAGACAACAGAGATTGATAGGGCAGATAGGCATAACGTAAACTGTTCAGGTGAGGAAAGAAGTTTGTCAGGATATAGGGTACATGTTTACAAGCTAGGAGCACAGTTTGTTTTCAATCTTCGGTCTGCGTGCATTATCAAGCATTCTCAGAATTAAAGCATACTACAAAACAACTTACACCCTTCGGAATGCTTTAGTTTGTATAAAGGATAAAATCTTCATGTCAACACAGAATTGTGTCTACAAATTAGGGTTTCTGAAGACTGGAAAGGGGTTAGGAAGTTAGTTTCAAGTGTTCAAACATAAGACATGGCGGCTGATATAAAAGAAACTATTTACTATAACACATACACTAATTACTGATTAAATAGTAATAAATACCACTTTTGTCTAGTCTTTTGTTTTGATCGGATTTTATCGATCAAGTTGTAATGGTAAATACACCTTCCTAGTAAGTGTCAACTAGCACGAACTCTGTGTGTAGAGCTTATACCTGCCGACTCCAACCAGCTAACTGTACAATCCTTCATACAGCAAACAATGAAATTAAATATGAGAATATGATTCAGGCAGATTTGAGAGATGAGTAACCGACATTTAAAGGTAGCTACCAATTTTGAAGTTGAAACTGCATTTAGAGGTATAAATTATGGACATTCAGGTAAATACTATTGACGATAAAATCACGATCGTACTGTATTTTAAACTGTTAATGTCACTAACAATTGTGTTAACTAAATGATAGTTAAATAAAAATAAATTTAATAATGGAACACAATAATCCAATACAAGTTCCTGTACTTCCCCTTTCGGATACAGATTTTTGTAAGGTATTCGGAAATTTTTTTGTGATCCGATTTATAGTAGCTGAGGTGGGTTCCAAGCCTTTAGCCAAATGGCCATGCGCTGAGAACGTTAACTATTAAACTGCCGATAGCAAAAGAACTGCGCACTAAGATGAATTCATGAAATCAGACTTATCTTGAATACAATTTTTAAAAAATGAGTATTAAAAGTTGTAATAGCTTGAATACAAAAACCTTTCTATGCATGAGTAAAACGTTAATATGAAACAATTAGGAACTTACTTCATTAACACGATAAGTTCGATAAATTCGACATGATGCTCCACAAAACGTAGAATGGCACCGACGACATGGTAAATGACACCCAGGACATTCAGATTTTAGACAATCGCAACTATAGTCCAAAGTTCCTAAAAGGCGGCCACGAGAATCATATAACGGATGCAACCGACTGTTAATAGTAGATGAAAACAGGAAGGTAACAAATAGATCGGGAAAATCCTTTCTTTTAGTGATAAAATGCACTATAAGCCATGCTAGAATAACGTACCTGAGGTCAGAAAAAAACCCGAAAACTGTATTTTTTCAGTCTGAACGGACTTTGTCGTCTCGCCCGCATCTAACGCCTTTTATCAAACTAATAACCACTGTTTGCTTTATAACTCGGACGGCAAGACGATTGAGTAATGGGTACTACTAGAATATCTTAACACAGGAGCCAAGATGGCACGAGGCTCACTGTTAATTAGTCACCAGATTTAATTCGTCTCGGATCGTCATTTATCTCTGATAGAAATCCGTGACTAAAACGTTATTTACGTTGAATCCAATATTGTCTTCACGGAAATCCCTGAGCACAGCTACATGGAGGATCTCGATAGACTTCATTTGACGATCCCGGTGGGAAGAAATTGCTGACTTTGTCGAGCTCGGTGACCCCGGTCTCAACGACAACAACAAGGACAGTACGAGAACCACCAGTCTTATAAACACCTTTAACGAAAATTCTGAGCGGTTGTTTTTAGTTGGTATTGATGTAGGCTCCATTTTATTTAAAGCCATTAAGAGAGTATAATCAGAATTAGTGATGTTACTGACAGTATAGTTGTTAATATCACCCCATTTGTACACCAGATGTTCAGCAATAATGAACTTCCTACTATCCACATGTCCAATAAATACAGTGCTGATGTCTTTTTCGAAAAAGCATCGTCACAGAAACAAATGAAAATACTCTAATTGCAAGCAAGACAATCTATCAACGAAATCATTTGGAATTTCCTGAAAAGATTACTTATATTATAAAGCACCATAATTAAGAGTCTAGTACGCCGTCCTGAATACAGTGATAGTCATTTAATTACAGATTAATTTTGAAATCTCTCCTAGCAAACACTCTGTGTCAGGTCAAGAAGTGGTCTGCTTACTACTTTGATAAGAGCTGATCTGGCTTCAGCAAACACTATTCGGTAAGCTCGAGCGATAAAGACCCTACTGCTCCGGTTATCCTTTGAAGCATCACTGAACATTCGAAGTTCAATTGTGGAATAGCTTGTTGCATTTAACGACATTGTTGGAGCAATACATTGAGATGTATTGCTTCTGCTATCCACCTCGTCCATATTTTGTGTCCTTCTTTACAAACTTAGTCGTCCCATGAAAACTTCAACTTGCATAGCCGTTGAAGAGCAAACTTGGCCACCACCCACCATGAAACGAGACAATTCGAGAAACAAACAAAATAGTCGATCACAGAAATTAGAGCATTTTACCGAAAAACAACCGATGCTCCTACTAGATTTTTTATTCTTTGGAGATAATAACTGGGAGAGGTAGGGAATATTTCCGAAAGCAGAGACGTTAAATCGATGCTGACTGCTAAAAATGACTTGCAGACCATTTGAAATATAAGGAAAGTTTGTCCGCAAGTAAAGGATATGATGAATCTTAAACTTTGAGGCCAAATACATAATAGATAGTGAGGGAATTTCATCTTGTGTAAGACGAAATGGGTACTCACAAAGGAATGTGAACGAAGACGAAAATATGATTAACTTCTGCATATTGATGCGCGAGAGTCAGACTTATTCTGTGGCTGTCCTGAGCTAGCTGTCCCAAGAAGCTAAAAGGACATTGTCTCAAAGAATGCTTGGCGCAAACAGGTCAGAACATTCCATTCTGTATATGATAAGTAGTGACATGGAGACCATGAGTAGTGGGCACATCCTCAAAGTTCATGATCGAGGACCTCGTTCCAAAGATGAAACAACAAATGGAAACGCACCTCTCGACTAAGATTAACGAGAAATGACCGGCCGTCCATGTTTGTCACCAGCGGCCTGTGTTAGTCATAATGGCATTTGGGTTCTCCAGGAGGTTATAGTATTTCTGTAAATGGAGGCTAAATTAGTCAAGGCGGATATAATGAGATAGATGCATTCAAGAAACGGAAATTTAGAGACATAAATTAAACTGGACAGGGCGCACTCGGGGACTTTGGACAAGATGAGCAGGGAAACGTGACTTCTGGAGGATACGATGGAAGTCAATGTGAATACAGTGACATGAAGAGTGGTCGAAGTCCTTTTCGTATTAGCTGTGGAGGTATGACATTTGGATAATACGTTGGAGAAAAGGTCGACCAGTGGAATGTTGGTTTGTGCTGAACACTTCATTGAATTTAAATTTAGTAAAATACACGTAAGTAATATTTTAAAAAATCTGGAGCTAAGATAGTTTGACTCCAATCATTCTTGTGTGCGTTATCCGAGTGAACCCAACAGTTATTCACGGTGATAAGAACACCAACAGCAGTCAATGTTGAGCTCAAAAAGGTAACAAAATGACCAATCCAGTGTCCTCAGACAGTTAACAATTACATCAGTCAAGAAGAAAAGAACCAGTTAGCAACCAACTGATGAAATATGAGGACGAAATAGTTCAACAAACAACGGATCTCAGACCCGTCTAATTACAAAGACTATAAGTGAAGCTTCAATCGATTACCTACTTTGTCAGTGCATTGACATTCATTTAATTAAACAGTAGCTGACTTACATTGCATACAACTAGATTTCCAGAAATGCAAAAATAAAAACATTTGGGTTTATAAAGCGATATTTTCAAAGAACATAATCCGAAAACAATTAATTGATTCATGATGAACGAAGGAAACCAAAACTATTCTATTTCCAAGTGTTGTACAATAACTAGAAGACGGTTGTCCAATAATAAAGTATCCAGATATTGAAGGATATTGGATAACTGAAATGGTCTTCAAATGAATAATATAATTTCCCTTACTCTTGTTATGGGGTAATCATAAAAACCCAGATGTAAAGTTTCAAAAAGGACTTAAAACGCTTATGCCAATTAGATGCATACAACACGCCCTGAAGTTAAAAAATAAAACTGTTAGTTGCTCAGAATTATAATGGAAATTGACATAGAACATTAATTTACTCTGATGATTTATAACTAGATTTAACGCTCATTTGTCTGCGAACACTTCGTGTCATATTTGCTTCGGACCAACCGACTTCTAGTTCTTCCATCTGTCTACCTGGGTTAGTGAATTTAAGGCGATCAAGTTCTCGACTATCAATGGGAGGAGCGACGATAATGCCGTTTGGATCGTCAACATGATTTTTTCTAAGCGGACTGCATTTTTGGTGGTCTCCGGAACCAGATTTACGAGCTTTGGAAATCCGTTTAACCGAAAACTGGAGTGGTAGATTCCCTGATGGAGAAGGATATTCCTCATTAGATCCCATAGTCCTTAAAAAAGTGAAATAAACATGCATTAAAGTTTCTAACAGATCCTGACAACAACAAAAATGATACATATGGCTGACTTACAACCAGTACTTGACCAGATTAAGTTTTGAAATAGAAGAAACCTTTATTCCAATATCTTGGTGACAATATGAAAGCAGGATCAGCTAAAGGCTCCGACTACTGATTCATATAAACATATTCACGAAAAACCTGACAAGACAAATGAACCAGCTTTACTTGTTAGGTAGGCAATATTCAATCCAAATAAACTGATTCCCTGTGATAACCTGATGCTTCTCTTAGTGGAAAATATATTTGTTTAATTATGAATGATTCTATTGCTAAGTCTTTAGTGGAATGAATTGAAGAATACTGTGTACGAAATTTCGAAGTGAAGTTAAACCATGAACTGAAACTAATTAACTAAATGTTGGTCATTTACAGTGCAAAAAGGTTAACAAAATGAGATTAGTCGTATTCGACTGAGAGCGAAAACATTTATTGGTTCTAAAGGTACTAACGTCAGTGTACCTGAAAGTTTCATTAACACAAGATTTACTGTTACTAAAAGATGGTTGCTTTGCAAAGTCAATTATTTTGATGTTTCGTCAAAATTTATAAGTATACGTTTAATTCTGATTTCAGATTTTTAAACAAACTCGATTTCAAAAGATTTGAGAGAATGAGATGAATTCTGATGGCTGATGATTCCTAGCTTCAGTTGATAGCATACATGATCAGAAAACCCGAAAATACGACGAAATAGTTATTAAGTGGCCTCTTTAACGGTATCGGTTTGGAACAACACGATAGTCCTGTACAGCATTCTTTCATACCACGACACCATGTCATACACCGACCACATCTCTGCTCTTTCCAACAAGTCTAAGCATTGGCAAATAATGAACAACATGGGATTCACTGAGACGACATTCATAGTGCATATCCAAGCCACAGAATTCGGTGTTTCAAGACGGTGACAATCCAACTGCAATCGAACACACATCCCCGAACCTCTGAATTCCTAACATGGTGTTACCAATGAATGTCAGAAATCTTTCGAGACAACGATAGTCACTTAAAATCCTCAACTCGGAAGCCTGGTTTTATAACCATACAGCAGAACGCGTTGTAGACCCGACCTTCCACAACAAGACCAACATCACGAACGCGCAAAAGATGCCCGAGTTTCAGATAATCCACTCTGTACTTGATTATGCGTAAATTAATATCATCACCTGAACTTAAACAGCTACCCAAATATACGGACTTCTCGACTACGTCTTGCCGCCCACTACCAAGAGTGAGTGCAGGTAAAGGTTCCTGTTAGTCCTGTAGATGTGCTTTGCACTTAGGTGTGGGGCACGTACCATACCTACGGACACTTTTCCAACCAAATTCGAATTGCATGGCATGGGTATCCTCGCACAGTAAGACTACATCATCCGCATACTCAACATGGAAGGTTTCCTTCAGGTAATAGATACCCATCGCTACTGCATACTTCTGTCAAAGCTGTTTCCAGAATGTCACTTTAGGCAAAGTTGAACATGAATAGTGAGCTTGGGAAACTCTGTCTAATCCAACTACTCGAATGGAATTAGGTAGGGGGTGGTTTTATGCCCTCACACTGACTGAGGTGTTTCTATATAAACTCTTCAATATGGTAATGAACTTCTCAAGCACACCTTTTTTCAACAACCACAGAGGACAGTCCTGTTCAATGAATAAAAGGAGATCCTGATATCGAGGAAAACAACGATGCTTCGCCTTCAATAAGTATGATGGTGATGTGGCATTTAGCAGAGGATTGAAATGTGATCAACACTTCTTCAACCAGAACGAAAACCAGCTTGTTTCCCTTGAATCAATCATTCAAGGGTTCTGAACAATCTATCAATAATTTGAACCAAATTGGAACTAGACTTATCGTCCAATAGTTATTGCGCAGATGACGTGAACGATTTTAAAGGTAGGGAAGACTGTCGCTTAATTCTAGGATGTTGAAACATTCTTCCAAACAATCCAATCAGTTTCCTGACTAGAGGTTCTCTCGACCATCCTCAAAAAGACCTGAAAGTAAATCCTCCGGGTTTAGTGATTTATGGTTCTTCAGAAATTAGAGTCCTATGAGGACTTCCGAATCGCTCGAAGAATCAGTCGTCACAGGCGACTGAGGACAGAACGGTCTGACCGATGTCGCCAAGACAGCAGACAACCCGAACTGTTCCTCGAAGAACTAAGTCTTTCCCTAAGACATCAGTGGATGCTATTGATTGATATCCTATCAGCTTCATATGTCATTTCCCTTACACCACATTTCTTGCTGCCAGTGGTTCGGTCGAGTTAGAAGAGCTTTTGGTAGTTATCAGATGCCTTTTTCAACTAGTTAGCATGCTCCAACCATCAGGCTTCTCGGTCCTTACGCAAAATTTCCTTATGTAAGGACCCGCGTCAAACTCGTGGTTAGTCGGAGTAGACCGACTTGCTTCAAAGAGTTATAACGAGTCTATGTAAAACCAGTGTTTATTAACCTCGAGCAACTTTAATCACAATTTTTTTATTGCGTCATACAAATACAGCCAGTGCTCATCTTTAAATTTTCGTAAGTTGATAACTAGTCTTGAACCTAGCCCAGTTCGATATTTGACTGAGACGGAAGCTGAAACCGGCTTACTTACATCAATCCGTTTGATGATGAACTTTTGGGCCATTAAAACTTTTGAAAACGAGGGCATGACTGAACTCCAGGTAAGGGCTCCAAAAGGAACGACAGTCCCTTACACGACCACACCTATGGTAGCTGGTTGCTGCCCCCAAATGCCCTGGTACGGCCGAGAGTGGGGAGAGTCTACTCTCCCTCTCGAAATGCTCTCATATGGCCAGCGAATATATAGCCTCTGCCAGGGAAGTCCTACTCACTGCCTTCTCGTGGCGGCGGTGTTGTTTACGAAAGTGAGAGGACGAAAAGCGAATGTCCGGCGCTATAACCGGATTGGTGGACACGGAGGGTCCACCTAGGGGAGTTGGAAAACCCTGATTCCAAACCAATGGTGCACATGGGCTCCAGTATCCTGATGGAACGAATGGCGGAAGAACCTGTCATTGGTCAACAGCTACCATGGGACTGCATCTCCTCATGATGCTCCACTGCCTTGTGGATCAGACCTTTAGGTCAAAAGCTCGGGGTGTGGTCCCCTAAGAAAACCACCTGCTTCGGTTTGGGCACCCTGGCAGTATCACAGCCCACACACAAATGAATGAAATGATGAACTCTATTGACGATTCTATTCCTGCTCATATTATAAGCAAGACAATTTACATTATTATTATTATTATTATTATTATTATTATTATTATTATTATAATTATTATTACTTACCATATCGCTAATTCACCCCCTTTTATCCCCAATTTGTGTAACCTTACTCTTCAACTTATGCAGCAGCTCGCCCATGGTGGAAAATCTGTCCTATCTAAACGATCTCCAGTCAGTGTCTGGTTGAAAGTGAATGCTTCCACCGATAATGAATACTGAAGCAGTCTTTCTGAAACCACGTACGCCGTTCAAGCTGGCTTCCTTCAACGTTCGCACACTAATGCAGATCAGACAACAGATAGGGCTGGCTATGTCTTTGGAAGGTCTTAATGTTGACGTTTGTTGTCTATCCTAGACCCGTATTCAAGACTCTAGTGAAGTACTACAAATCCGCTCTCCATCTGTCGCCTCGAAGAGCTTGTTCCACGTGCGCTTATCCGGGGACCCTGTGGCATCTTCGTCTGGTCTTGCTGGCGTTGGCGTCGCACTAAGCGCTAGGGCTGAGGCAGCACTAATCGATTGGATCCCCATTAACAGTCGGTTATGTGCTGTTAGATTAGAAAGTTCCATCAAAGTGAGAAGAAATCGGAGTGAGAAACGGTGTCTTCTCGTCATCTCCGCCCATGCCCCGGCAGATTGCAGCCCGGATGCAATCAAGGATGAGTTTTACCATCAGTTAACAGTTCTTCTCCAGAAAGCGCGTTCGACAGATATTGTAGTACTAGCCGGAGACTTAAATGCACAGGTCGGGCGTCTAGGCATAGAAGAGAGTCGTCTAGGTGGCCGATGGGGACTTGTTGGTCGCAGGACAGATAACGGGGACCGTTTGCTGCAACTGTGCACAGACCACAACCTGTTTCTGGCCAGCACTAACTTCCGGCACAGTCATCGCCGGTGTGCCACCTGGCGTCCTCCCTCTGCATCCCAAGCCTGGACTCAGATTGATCACATCGCGATCAGCTACCGCTGGCGTGGTTGTGTACAAGACTGCCGCTCCTTTTGGAGTACCTATCTGGAGTCTGATCATGCCCTGGTCTGCGCCAACCTCACCTTACTTTTCAGTGGCCGGAGGATTGACCACCACCAACGGATTGATATTAGTAAACTGGCTGCAACTTCTGTTGCAAGTAAGTATCTAGCGGAGCTAGCCTCTAGGCTAGCTAACACCCCACCGAAAAGTATAGATGAGCATTGGTTGCATCTTCATGACGCCATGAAAATGGCGAGTAAAGTCGCTTGCGGCTTCACGAAACGTCCCGCTTACAAGCACTGGCTCCTTACAACTGATGGAAGCCCGTCGGTCTACTCCGGGTGACCGTGAGTTTGACCACAAACGAAGGCTGTTAAGTAATGAAATCGTGCAAAGCTTGCGTAAGGACCGAGAAGCCTGGTGGTCGGAGCGTGCTAATGAGATGGAAGCAGCAGCTGCATCTGGTAACTGCCGGAAGCTCTTCCAACTCATCCGAGCCACTGGCAGCAAGAAGTCTGGTGTGAGTGAAACAATCTACGAGGATGATGGGATGCCAATCACTAACATCTGTCGACGTCTTGGACGATGGGCGGAATTTTTCGAAGGGCAGTTCAACTGGCCTGCTGCTCCGGCAACATCAACCAGTTTGTCCTGCCCCCCATGACCGGTGACGACTGTTCCACCAAACGAGGCGGAAGTCCGCAAGGAACTCCAACTGTTGAAGCGCTACAAATCACTTGGCCCAGATGACTTACCTCCGGCTCTTTTTAAAGATGGCGGTGACTTTCTGACTAAGGAATTGACTGTGTTGTTTGGAAAGGTTTGGGAGCAAGAAAGTGTTCCAACATCATGGAATGAGCCAATAGTCGTCCCTATCTTTAAAAAGGGTTCGCGTTATTCCTGCAATAACTATCGGGGGATAAGTCTTCTTCCGATTGCGTCCAAACTATTGGCTTCTATCATTCTTCGTAGGTTGTTTAAAACCCGAGAACGATTGACTCGCGAGGAGCAGGCTGGTTTTCGTTCTGGTCGAGGATGCATTGATCAAATCTTCACCCTCCGCCAAATGTTAGAACACCGTCATACTTATCGCAGGCCAACAATCGTAGTGTTTCTTGATATCAGGGCTGCCTTCGATTCGTTGGACAGGACTGTTCTCTGGGATTGTCTATTGAAGAAGGGTGTGCCTGAGAAGTTCATTAACATCTTAAAGGCCCTGTATACGAACACCTCAGGTAGAGTGAGGGCATACAACCACCTTTCTCCCTTGTTCCATTCGAGCAGTGGGGTTAGGCAGGGTTGCCCGATCTCACCATTCGTCTTCAACTTTGCAATCAATGACATCCTGGAAACAGCTCTGATGGATGTAAGTAATGGCGGTGTGGATATGTTGCCTGGAGAACGACTTCTCGACCTTGAGTATGCGGATGATATTGTCTTACTGTGCGATAATGCCCAAGGCATGCAATCAGCACTTAATCAGTTGGCAATCAGTGTCCGCAGGTACGGCATGTGCTTTGCATCTCCGAAGTGCAAAGTACTCCTACAAGACTGGCAGGATTCTCATCCTGTACTCACCCTGGATGGTGAGCAGATCGAAGTAGTTGAGAAGTTCGTGTATCTAGGTAGCTATATAAGTGCTGGTGGTGGCGTGAGTGATGAGATTGATGCACGTATAAGGAAAGCCAGATCGGCTTATGCCAATCTGGGCCATCTTTGGCGCCTTCATGATGTTAGTCTGGCTGTAAAAAGTCGGATTTACAACGCGTCGGTGAGAGCAGTTTTGCTCTATGCTTGTGAAACCTGGCCTCTCCGAGTTGAGGATGTTAGACGTCTCTCTGTGTTCGATCATCGTTGTCTCCGAAGGATTGCTGACATCCAGTGGCAACACCATGTTAGTAATGCAGAGGTTCGGCATCGTGTGTTCGGGCACAGAGACGATAATTCAATTGGTGTCACCATCTTGAAACACCGACTTCGGTGGCTTGGACATGTTTTACGAATGTCGTCCCAGAGACTTCCACGTCGTGCATTATTTGCCGACCCTGGGACTGGTTGGAAAAAGCGGAGAGGAGGTCAGTGTATGACATGGTGTCGTGGCATGAAAGAGAGCTGCAAAGGGCTAGCTTCTGTTGGTCCTTCACGACTCCTTGGTTGGGGTCCGAGAGATGGTGCAACACAGTGGCTAGAGACGTTATCAGATATGGCTCAGAATAGAAACCAGTGGCGATCCTGCTGCAACCTTCTTTTACTTTCTACATAAAGAATGGTTCTAACTTTCTTAACTGAAAGAGTCTTCTGGTTGTACATTTCAGTCCGCCTTATCTTTTCATCCCTTCTCTTCCTACTTTCATTATTTTGTGTGGCGCATATGTACCTGGTGTCCTTTTGTACCAATATATATGTGTTTAAATAAATAAATAAGCTGGTTGCTATGTGATCAGTCTGAGTTCAGTGTTGAGATGCAGAGGAAGGACGCCAGGTATCGCATTGGCAATGACTGTCCCGAAAGTGAGTAGTGGCCAGAGACAGGTTGTGGTCTGCATACAGCTACAGGTGGAGGTCACCGTTGTCTGACTTGCGACCAATGATTCCGCATTGGCTAACCAAACGACCCTTTTGTGTCTAGAAGCTCCACCTGCGCACTTACATCTCTGGCTAACATCATAGTATCTATCGGACACGCTCCCCGAAGATCGCTTAACCGTGGTAGGGCTCATCCTTGATTGAATACAAGTTGTGATCTGTTGGGACGTAGGCTGAGATAACGAACAGATAGTTTCTCACACCAGTCTCTTCGCATTTTGATAGGGCTTTCTGATCTAATGGCAAATAATCAACCATTAGCAGAGGATTAGAGCTGCCTTTGCTATGGTATTTAATGCGACACCAACGCCAGCCAAACCGGACGAAGATACCTCTTAGTCTCCGATAAACGCACGTGAAATAAGTCTTCCGGATCAACAGATGCAGAGAGAACTCGGGAAATCCTGATAATCTTAAATATAGGCGTCGGATAGACAACGGACATCGATATTGAGACGATTCAAAGACAGCCAACCCTAACTATTTTCCGATCTCCTATGATGTGTAAACGTTGAACGAGTCAGTTTGAATGATACACATAGCTTTAGAAAGTCTGGAACCGTATTCGGTCGTAACAGTCGACTTCTAACCAGTCAGTGACTTGAGTTCGTTTAGATAAGACGAAATTTCCACCAGAGGAGTGATGTGTATGTTGGAAAATAAAAGTAAACACAATGAGAACAAAAAGAAAGAGAGGAACAAGGAGACGTAAAATGAAATTTTAAGTAATTAAGTACTTATGATGGACGTGTAGGTAGGTAGTGGGAGAGAGAAAAAGTGTTCTATTTATTAATATTCATCTTCGTAGTTGTGCTCTTTACTTTATTAACCTACAAAACCCTAAAATGTAGACCGAGAAATTATATTAATTCGTATATAAAGACAAATCAAACATCTTGAAGTTCGATTACCTTAAACATCTGGAGGTTAAATATCAATACACGGAAAACAAACAATACA